GTAAATCCGAACGACTAATTAAATGCAAAATAAGTTTGGAAATAAAATTATCAATTCATTATTCTGTAAAATATTCCATCATACTCTGGTCCAATAAACTGTTACTCCCATTCTTCTGTAGACGCCGTTCAGATGAACAAGTCCTGGATATAAATTCATGAATATCTTGTCTTATCAGATAGGAATATTGATAAAGAAAATAGGTTTTAAGGTTCTTGTGTAAGCTGATCGATTTAAATTATAGATTTGATTAGATATAATTAAGAGGCAGCAGATACTTGCAGGCTTATTATTAAATCCCAAAAGGTTGATGGATTTAAGATGTATTCATCCTATTTGGTCGAGATAATGAAGAGCTGATAGTTGAATCTTTCCACAATGACATGTAGACCTTACATTTACATTGAATTTCGCATAGCCTTGCTTTCCCAAAAGATATTATGATCGAGAGTAGACTGCCGTTTCGACCTCGCCTAGGTCTTATCAATGTTCCCAGCGGGACTCAAGCCAAAACACTGGAGGGCATAATCTCGATACGTTAACCATTACGTCACAGTCTCTTTAGGTCACAAGGCAGATGCGAATTTCAAGGAAGGCCAGACATTTTCCCATATCACATTCTGTGGTTGAATTTACGATAAAGAAAAGTTTGATTTGTTATAATAATCGATTGCATTACTTATTTTTCGTTAATAAGTTTTCGAGACAACCAGTAGATAATATATATAATGTTTTCAGCCTAATTCGTTAAGGTGATGAAGGACTGGTAGTAAAATTTTCCTGCAATGATAAGTAGATTTTTCGTTTCCACTAGATTTCGCATAGCTTTGCTTACCAAAAGATATTATAATTCGGAGTGGACTACAGTTTTTGAAATTCGCATCTACCTTGTGACTCAAGGAAACTTGTGGTAGTGTAGCGCAGTGAATAACATGTCTAGATTATACGCTGTACTATCACGCATCCTTGGGGATGTTAAGGAGACCTGGGTAAGGTCGAAAATGCAGTCCACCCTAAATCAAAATACCTTCTGGGAAGAAATGATGTAAAAATCAATAGAAACGTAAGGTACACTCATGTCATTATGAGATAATCAAACACCAATCATTCATTCCATTAACGAAATTGAGCGAATACATCTCATATATATGAGCTATTAAAAATTTCGGAAATCTTATAAACGAAAAATAGCTGGATTTGTCAATACTAGTAGCATAATTAAATATTCTTTTTGAAGATACATTCAGTTATGAATAGTGTGTTCAGCTGGATTGCGACTACATGAAAGTATTATTATGACCCCCTGCTATATAAAACGAGCCCTTGTGATAACTAACAAAAATTAGGATTGCCAATAAGTATTGTGATTCATATAAGAACAAATCTTATGAATAAGGTAAAGATAAAATAGAAGAATAAGTAGTAATAAATAATAAATTCTAAAAAGTAGAACTCATGTCTACAATGAGCTTAATGAGAAAATATATGAAATAAG